TTGTGACCGAAAGTGGAAGACGAAGGCTTTTGACAAGGATCTGTTCGTTGAGGCACTTCGTGTGGACAGGAGTCCCGCAGATCTAAATGCGGACGAGCTGACAGAAACGTTAGTGAGAGCATGTGACACGACCATGCCGAGGAAACTGGAGCCAAATAACAGACGGCGTCCAGTCTACTGGTTGAACAAGGCACTTAGCACTCTCCGCGCTAGTTGTCTCAGAGCCAGAAGACGTGTTTAGAGAGCAAGAACGGAAGCAGACAGAGAGGAACGAAGAGAAGTGTTTCGAGCGGCCAGGGCCGCACTTAAACGAGAGATTAAGCAGAGCAAGTCGAACTGTGTCGAGACGCTGATGCCAAACCCTGGGGCGACGCATACCGAGTCGTGATGGCGAAAATCAGAGGTCCAACGATGCCCGCTGAAATGTGCCCAGAGAAGCTGAAAGTCATCGTGGAAGGACTTTTCCCAAAGCACGACCCAACAACCTGGCCACCTACACCGTACGGAGAAGGAGAGGGAGGTACCGTCGAAGTCACCAACGAGGAACTCGTAGCAGTGGCGAAAGGATTGAAGGTGAAAAAAGCTCCCGGTTCAGATGGAATCCCCAAAGTAGCGTTGAAAGCGGCGATCCAGTCATCCCCGGACATGTTCAGGATGGTGCTGCAGAAATGCCTGAACGAGGGTCACTTCCCTAACAGGTGGAAGATACAGAAGCTAGTGTTGCTGCCGAAATCAGGAAAACCGCCGGGGGATCCAGCATCGTACAGGCCTATATGCCTGCTGGATACACTCGGAAAGCTCTTGGAGAGGATCATCCTAAACAGGCTGACGAAATACACGGAGAGTGAGCACGGATTGTCGGAGAGGCAGTTCGGATTCCGGAAAGGGAGATCGACGGTGGATGCAATTCGGACAGTGGTCGAGAGAGCTGAGAAGGCGTCTAAACAGAAGCGGAGAGGAGATCGATATTGCGCCATGATAACGATCGACGTCAAGAATGCGTTAAACAGCGCCAGCTGGGAGGCCATCGCCGAAGCACTGCATAGAATGAGGGTCCCTGACTACCTGTGCAGGATCCTGAGGAGTTATTTCCAGAACCGGGTTCTGGTCTACGAGACAGACATGGTACTGAGATCGATTAGGATCACAGCGGGAGTTCCACAAGGCTCCATCCTTGGTCCAACGCTCTGGAATGGGATGTACAACGGCGTGCTAACGCTGAAACTGCCCAAAGGAGTTGAGATCGTTGGCTTTGCGGACGACGTCGTCTTGACGGTAACAGGCGAGACGCTGGAAGAGGTGGAAGTGTTGTCAACCGAGGCAATCGACATGATTGGTAACTGGATGCAAGGAGCGAAGCTGCAGATAGCCCACCACAAAACGGAAGTGTTATTGGTCAGTAACTGTAAAGCGGTACAGCGGGCAGAAATCACCGTCGGGGAGCACACCATAGCCTCGAAGCGTGTGTTAAAATACCTGGGAGTGATGATCGATGACCGGCTAAACTTCAACAGCCACGTCGAATATGCCTGTGAGAAGGCTTCGAAGGCCATCAACGCGATAGCTAGAATCATGCCAAACAACGCTGGTCCCAGCAGTAGCAAGAGGCGTCTTCTGGCCAGCGTGTCATCATCGATACTGAGATATGGAGGTCCAGCCTGGGTTCCAGCGCTGGAAACGAAGCTGAACCAAAGGAAACTGAGCAGTACGTTCCGGCTCATGGCCATGCGAGTCGTGAGTGCGTACAGAACCATCTCGTCGGAAGCAGTATGCGTTATCGCCGGTATGATCCCAATCGGCATCACCCTGGCGGAGGACAGCGAGTGCTACAGGCGGAGAAAAGCCGGAAGAGTACGGAAAGTTGTGAGAGTGGAGTCATTGGCTAAGTGGCAACAGGAGTGGAACACGACGGAGAACGGTAGATGGACACAAAGACTAATACCGATTCTTTCGACCTGGGTGAACAGAAAACACGGAGAAGTCAATTTCCACCTAACGCAGTTCCTGTCTGGCCACGGCTGCTTCAGGAAATACCTGCATCGGTTCGGATACGCAGCGTCACCCCTTTGTCCGGAGTGTGGCAACGTCGATTAAACGCCGGAGCATGTGGTCTTCGACTGTCGACAGTGCGAACGGAGATGCCCATCCTTAACGTGGAGAATGTCGTCGTTAATTGTGTCGAGAGGAGGACACTTGGAATGCCGTCAGCAGGGCAGTCACGCAGATTATGTCGGAGCTGCAGCCTAAATGGAGAGAAGAGCAGCGATCTAGCAACGCCAGCTAGCGCTGAGAGTACGACAAGTGCATGAGCACAGCCACCCCTCGAAGTAGTCGCTTTACAGTGGTCCCGGGGGGGATCCAGGCAGAGGAGAGAGTAAGGAATGGGTTTTAGGGGAGCTGTACTAGGCAACTAGTGGATACCACACCGTGCCAACTTCACTACAGGCTAGGCTTCTTGAAGCTTTTCTAAACCTTACTATAAAAAAAAGAAAACAAAAAACACATGCATAACGAACATGATTTTCAACTAGCCCCTCAACCCCCTTCCCCTGCTTTGATTTTGCCACCACTGCACATTTAATTCTCGAAAAATGTCATTATTGAGCTAGACAATCAATAAAATACGAATACGACTGTACAAAACAGTCCACCTCAACCAAAACTAATTGAATCATATAGGCTGACAAAATCGGGTCAAAAAGCTGACAAAATCGGGGGCTGACAAAATCGGGTCACCACTGTATAACTTATTAATAACATATTATAACTAAGCTATATATAAGATGTATTCATGATTGCAAGTTTTCAGCAATTACAATCAGTTATAAATGTGTTACAAACAGGTACTTTTAACATGCAATGCTGACTAATAAGTTCAAGATAACAAGTGCCTTTCAAAAAGGTTGAATTCTGCATAAACAACAATACAAAGGATGTTTTCAAAGCTATTAATATGTAACTTATTTTCAACTAGGATATCTTTTAATCACCCAGACAACCAGAAGTTGTATAACAATGTGTAGACAGTATCGTAAATTGCTACAGTTTAAGTCAAAATCGCATATAAGAATGGCATGCATCGCATTATGTTTAAGTTGAATCGTATAGAATGCAAATTTCCGACCTATATGCGATGATTCATTTGTCCGTCGTACTGTATCACAAATCAAATCAGATTACATCGTAAGACTTTCCAAAGTGAATTTGTTATTACAGATTAAATCGCATATGATGTTAAATCAACTCGTTTAAAATTAAATTAAAATTAGCACGTATATGGCCTCCACTTTTGTACGTATAAGCCATTTCTTTGCATTCTATATGATCTGTTTGTTTGTATATATGTTTGTATATCACGAAAACAACTTTGAATATACGTGCATTCTGGTTGTCTGGGTAATTTCATTTTTGTTTATTATTATTATAATTATGTTTATTATAATTTTTTCTTTCATGAACGATGTTGCAATTGTAACTTGGGATGTATACCTCGTCTAATTTAACACAGCAGCCAAATAACACAAATTCATAGAATTATGTTGAGCAGATTAGTATACATCCAAAACCACTCATACAAAGGTTGATTAAACTGTTATAGAACATATGTGTTCCTTGGGCATGATGATCTTAAAATTAGACGACTTCATGTTTAACACACTAGTTGGCGAATTTGATACTTTATCCTAGAAGTCAACGATCCCTTCAGTATCGAGTTATGATGGAAGACTGTTCGACTTAATATACGTTCAACAAGAATCAGCAAATCACCGTGAATTTTGTCATTAAGTTTGTCTATCCGCATGGACCGGAACCGTCCGAAGCCATTTTCGCGAGCGTGGTATACAACCATTTAGCTGGTATACATATATATGGAAAAACAAGAAATGTAAACCGAATGAAATTACCGCTCCGGTCTCAAAGGCCTCAACCCAGAGTGGCCTAGGCTAGGGTCGCAATGCTGCTACATGATGGGTGGGTGGAACTGCGTAATGATAATCATGGCACGCATCTAGGTATGAAAATCTGCGCACACCTTTCGGCCAGCAATAATGGTGGTGACAAGCGAAGCGGTCCAGAGCAAAAGAGAGATAGATAGAGATAGAGGCTCACTAAAAAAAAAAAAGAACCATCATCGTGATCATCAACAACATCACAATCGCCGGGGCATCTAGGAAAAGTGTTGTGGCAGTAAAACAATTATATAAAATAGACTCGGTAGAAAAGTTCTGGTTTCATTCGAACGCTAACCGTCAGGTGTGGTGGACGCGCGATCGCGAGTTGAATTTTTGGTTTTTTTTCGGGGTGGAAAACCTGAGTGAGAGAAGTGTGATTGATTGAGGTATAGAGATAAGCACGTGTAGGAGCCCCATTGGGTGGAAGTGACTTAATTTGGAGAATACAACAGAGTCGGAGGGGTAAAGGCGGCCTCTGGATGGATTTTTGGTAGTGAATAGCCTCAAATTAACAAAAAGTGACCCGGCGATCGAAACAAAAGAGTTCACCTTGAAAGAGTGGCTCGAAAATAGTAGCGACACGGGAAAAACATAACAACAATTGTGATCAAGAATTAAATTGTGAATATTCAACACGGACAACCATCAGTTGGAAAGGCCAATCTAGAACGGACAGTCTAACAAAGTGGGGTCATTTATGCAACCTCTGACTCTGAGCTACCACCCTCGAACCCCTGTATGTGACATGCTAGTGTAAAATTCTGGGATTTCCTCTCTTTTTCAGCATTAGTTAATTGGCAGTTTATGGAAATCTTCTGACGTGGTTTCGCATGTTTGCTTTTTCATAATTGCTGGTAAGAAGCAAAAAAGTGGTTGGAATTCTTGATAAGTGATCGTCATCGTTTGTTTATTTTTTATATTCTATTGTGGCTATTAGCTTTCAAGTCTGAACTGATCTCATTCCCATCGTTGAAGAAGAAGAAAACGCCAAACGATAGCCTAAAAGTCGAAAACACTTCGGGTGAGAGCCGGTGTAGTGCGGTGAGGTGTGAATATTTTCGAGTCATCCACAAAAAGTAGCGGGCGGCAAAATTGCAGCAGCAGACACACAATGGCCGTTGATGTAGTTTTTCGAAAGGTGAGTGATTCATACACACAGAGGGTTATGTTCGGTATCGGATTTGGGTGGGAAAATTGACCCTGATGGAAGTGGGTGGCTCGTCGGGTCATCAGCGGAGGGGTTGTTGAATGATTGGAAGATTTTTGCTCGCTGCATGTCTGACTGTTTGCAAATCGGACCCGGTGATTTGGGTTTACAGCTTGCGTCTAATGGGAAGAGGCAGACACAATGAGCTGAAAATGTGATTGGATCGCTTAGTTTGCAACTTAATGCAGCGGTTTATTAGGAACGGCTAGTCTTATGATGTTCATAAATCGGTTTATCTTTAAAACCGTAGCGTAAAATGCTAAAAACTGCGTTGATCAATCCAGCTGGCCGTTGCATGTTTGCAAGTTGCGTCCAAAATAGCCGAAATATGGAAATTTGTTGAGTTTAGAGTTTTTTAAATTCATAGGGGAAATGGCTCTAATGTTGGCCTATAGCTCCTATAAATTTTATTTAGATGAACGCGGCATTGGAACGGTACTAATGGATATTTTTGGTTGCTATTGAAAATTAAATCGATTGCTGAATTTATGTATGGGCCCAAATTAGGGACACTTAGGCTGACATTTCCTGCATTTCCCCTATATTGAAAAATTGCTGTAGAAAATGATCAAAACGCATTGAAAGATTGGGATGGGAAATTTCTTATAAATACGTTTTGCAAAGGGACGTTTCGTGTAGTGAACAATTCGCAAAATTTACGCCTCTCAAATTTATTTACAATGTAAACCAACTGTCACGTGAATGATGTGTATTAGTGAGGTTCAAAATATCAATTTGGTTCCACCAAGCTCAATAGATTTTAAATCAGGTTCGGGTAACTCTGCCAAAACGTGAACTCATTTAATGCGAACTCAGACTGAATTGGCCCTTTGAAGTTTAACTTTACTGAAAACCGTATATGGATTATAAGTTGTGATAATTAGCTTTTTTTATTTAGCAACAAAAGGAACCTTAAACTAGTTAAACTATGAAGTAATGAAATTTAATTGTAAGCGGAATTCTTGAAGCAAAATAATTTATCTTCTAATTAATTCCTTTTAACCAATTTTGGTATCAACGACAGATACGTATTTCGACTACAATGTGTAGTCTTCATCTGTGTCATTCACACGAAAGGCTTATCAATATCTGACCCTCTTTACTTTACTAGAATCTTTGGTTATTATTAGTTAGGTAGGTTCCGATTCTACACGTTGTAGATTCATTTTTATACCTGTGGTCTTGACATTTTCACCTAGGGGATGAGTGCTTAAGGGGGTTAGGTTTTGATAAGTTCTTTAGTGGAAATGACACTGATGAAGACTGCACATTGTAGTCGAAATACGTATCTTTCATGGATATCAAAATTAATTAAGTTGAATTAAATGGAACATTTTTGTGTGTTTTTTTTAATGAAACATTGGATTAAGGAAAAAAATGGATAGGATAATTGAGCTATGCAAAGTTATATGAGTTTACTTTGGGTTTCGTTCCTCTCAATAGTGTTTAAATTCTTTGATCAATCGCTTGAAGTAACTCATGTACAAGTTTCAAGTAATGAATGTCCCTGCAACCTAGTACGTCTCGTATTGCCTTCAAACAGACTTTTTGGATCTCGTAAGCGAATTTGGTTCGTATTTCCATGCTATATGATCTATGTCCTTATATCCTTATCGCATAAACATTTGTTCTTCTGCAATAAATATTTATACAGAAAAGATGTTTTTTTTTTTAATTATAGTCACTTTAACGGGTCATTCGTGACTTGTCCGGGGTGAGATTTAAACTCGGTACTTTACGAAGGAATCAACCTCATCATTGCCATAGATTGAACCATGTGCAGGAATCCACAAGAAAACAATCGTGTATTCCAATTGCTTTGATTGGGACACTATTTGTTTGATTTGCAAATTCCCATCAATGCGGTTAGTGTTTCTTTGAAGACTCCATTTTTCCATCAAACCTCGTAATTTCAAGAGCACACAACTCAAGATATACATCTGCAAATTTCAGACATTGCTTGTTTCTCCGCAGCTACGTACATTCCCAGAAACCTTATTATTTGTGCATGTGAAATTGCGAAGTGTAACACTAAAAAGGACGCTACAGGGAATCACCTTAACGCACTCGTGCTATCTGAGCATATGACTAATCTCGCGCAACACGAGAAAAGGGCCTATCATTGTTGTTCGATTCGCTTCGTCGATTTTCTCTTTCGCAAATGAATTTCCCATTCAGTGTGTTGTTTCAGGCGCAAGCTAACATCATCTTCTATCGAACTGTGTGTCTGTAGGATGGCAATATTCTACTAGAATCAAACTGTCAAAATGTTTTTTTCAACTGGATTCGACGAACTGGAATGCCCTCAAAAATTTTCTTAGCATTATTCCTCTGCTCATAAGCTTGAGATTCTTTCTAAAATTCCCTTGAAAATTTATGTTTGACTCCAGAACAAGTTACCATTCCACAACAATATACCCTTAGAATGTCTGCCAATATTAACGATTGTCCCAGGAATTCGCTAAAGATTTCTTCCATAATTCTATTCTAAAAATTTCTGAGAATTTAGAAACAGTTAACAATTATGCTCAGAATAATCCGGTATGTGCGCGATGAACAGAAACATTATTTGTTTGTACTTTTCTCTCGTGTAGACTACTCTCGGTTTCAAACCGTGGTTTCGTTCAGTAATAAACAACACTGAAAAAGTTTCGAGCTCATGGACCAGCTTTGAATTACCCGGACTCCAAAATAACTTAGGCGTCACAATATCAGCTTCAATAGACAAAATTGATGCGACGAAGAGACTACTGACTTTCTTCTTCTGTTGAAAGCGAACCGCTTCGCAGCATTCTAGAACCTCAGTCGGCGTCCACTAACAAATTCTCAATCGTTTGTCTCTCTTTCATCCGTCGCTCCATTGATCTTTCTTTCAAACTTCGGTAAAACGGACAAGTTAAAGAGCACTCGACTTTGATAGTTTCGTCTTTCATGAAACACATAAACAGAGGTTTCAGCACGTGTTTGACGGAAAATGAAAATATATATAAAGCATTTCTCACGTGAAAACACTTGAAGATTACATGTAATATGTTTAATTTATCCTCCATCCACACATTAAAAAAAAACGATAATGGGATATAACGCATAGGGATACATAAATTCAGCAATCGACTAAATTTTCAATAGTGACCAAAAATATTCATTAGTACCATCCCAATGACTTTGACAATGACAATGATTTTGAATTTCCAGACTCTTATGTTTGACGAACAAAGAGAATTATAAAGCATTTATGCTTCTTCTTTCCTTTATTTAACGTCGGTCTCTGTTCCGCAATGTAGTGCCAATCACCGACGGACATCGATTGCCATCGATTGACGACAATCGAATGTGCAGGAAGGCAGCTTCCACACCTGCGTAGGATATCGCACCCATTCAACACACATGGGCCAGGACCAACGGCTTTACTTCCCTTCCGAAGGAAGACGTGACCAGAGATTTTTTGCCTCAGAAAAATCCCACCGACCTCGGCTAGGATTGAACCCAGACCCATTGGGGTGTTAGAAAGCAGTCACGCTTACCACTACACCACCGGCGCCGGCTAAAAAGCATTTATGCAGAATTCTTTTTTTATGACTATTTATGACAGACTAACCAATTTTCAAAATCACGAAATTATGAACAAATATGAATGAGCTTTAAACTTATGTAATTGTACCCCTGTTTGTAGATACTATTTTAGATCCTTTCTTCTTAAACGTTATTAGGTTATTTTAATTTTTTATATGAAATGGAGTTAGTTGTGAGTGGCACCGGTGGTGTAGTGGTAAGCGTGATTTCCTCTCACCCCAGTAGGCCTGGGTTCAATCCCAGTCGGCGCCACCGGGATGTTTTGAGGCATAACATCTCTGATCACGCCTTCCTTGAAGTAAAACCCGGTGGTCCCCGGTTTATGAGTTGATGGGTCGATAGGTAGAGTCCAGGTGTGGGAGCTGCCTCCCTGGCGTCGCTTAACTGTAACCCAGACCCATTGGGGTGTTAGAAAGCAGTCACGCTTACCACTACACCACCGGCGCCGGCTTTTAACAACGGTCAGCGAGGAACAAATTCTACATTCGTACCCGTAGGTACAAATATCACCCCTGCTTCAAATGTTTCATCTGTACCTACTCCCCTGGCTGCTAACAATGTTCAGCGAGTTAATGGAGCTGCTATTGCAGCGGGTGGAAATCAAAATACTAACCAACGTTCTAACGGAAATTTTGACAATTTTGACTTAGGAAGCATTACTGCCCCTAAAATGGAATTTTTACATTAATTGACATGATTTCTGATATGCTTAAATCTAACTTCATGTTTGATGCTATTCAAACTGGGGTAAAATTTGCTATTGTCATGACTTTAAAATTCAGTAATGGATTTTAAAGCATTAAATATTTTAAATTGGAATGCTCGATCTCTTAAAGATAATGAAGACGAGCTATTTAACGTTATAACTGAAACGTTCCTTAAACCTGACCATAAGGTTAAGAAGGACGCAAATTATTTGATTTATAGAAATGATCGTCTTGATGGACCCTGTGGTGGCGTTGCCATCATTGTTCATAGACGAATCAAACATAAAATTCTTTCTTCATTTGAAACCAAAGTTTTTGAAACTTTGGGTGTTTCTGTTGAAACAAAATTCAAACTTACGTTCATAGCTACATATTTGCCATTCCAATGCGTAGGTCAGCAAAAGAATTTTCTCAAGGGTGACCTTCAGAAACTTACCCGTCATAGGTCTAAATTCTTTATTATTGGTGATTTTAATGCAAAACACCGCTCATGGAATAATGCTCAAAGCAATTCCAATGGTAATATTCTGTTTGATGATTGTTCTGCAGGTTATTACACTATTCAATATCCAAACAGCCCAACATGCTTTTCTTCTGCAAGAAATCCCTCCACTATTGATTTGGTCTTAACTGATTCATGTCAACTTTGTA